TTCGTATACTCCGTTGTCATTCAATTTGTTTATTTTGTCCTTATTGTTCATGAGTAAATTGCCTATAGTTTTATTTGGTTTATCTGTTATTAGAATGTCATATTGTTTCATTGTTTGTTTTATTCCATTATTAATGCTTACCTGGTGTGTGATAGATCTGTAGTTTTTGATTTTCTGTGATTGTTGATTTTGTAATTGTGTAATATTATTTAGTTCCTGTCTAATTTGATATTTATTGATCATTTTATCTATTATTTCTTCTGGATATAGATTATTTATGGCAATGTTTTTTATTATTCTGATTTCTTTGTTAAATTTTTCTGTATTCAAATTCGAATTATAAGCTCTATGGATGTAAGATCTGAATGCTGCAATTTTTTGGGTTATGTTATGAAAGGAATCATACGGGATAGTGGCGTCTGTCTGAGTCGGTTTTCTGTATATTTCGAATTGTATGTCATGTTTGTCTTTTTCTATTGTGATATCGAGAAAATTTAGTTTATTGTTGTTTTCAAGTTCAATTGTAAATTGGATGTCTGTGTGCAATGTGTTGATGTATTGGTGCAAACCTTCTATGATTTCTTTCTTATTGGTGTTGACAATGACCAAAATGTCATCCACGTAGCGCTGCCATATTAGTATATTTTCAAAATAAGGGTTCTTTTCATTTATTATGAAGCTGGTTTCTATTTCATTCATAAAAATGTCTGCTAATAAACCGCTCAAAGGAGAACCCATGGGGAGTCCTTCTTGATATGTATATGTTTCATTTTGAAAATTAAAGAAATTCTGTTGTAAGCATATCTGGAATAATTTAAAAATGTTTTCGCTATCATTTTTGTTTTCTAACTGTGAATTCAGAATGCTTTCGACAATTTTCAAAGTTTGTTTGGTGGGAATATTGGTGTAAAGTTTTACCACATCAAAAGATATTATGGTGTTTTCATTTGGTAGTCTCATATCTGTAAGTTTTTGTATTATTTGTCTTCTATCGTTAATCGTATAATTGGGTTTAAAGTCTATATTATTTTTAAAAAACTGTACTAGAAATTTTGAGATCTTATATGTACTGGCATCTGTAGAGGCTATTATGGGTCTTATTGGGTGGTTTATTTTATGTAATTTTATGAGGGCGTATAATCTAGGTATTTTTGGGTTCATTGGAATTATGCTTTTTGTGTTAACATTAAACTTTTTAAGAGTGTCTTTAACCTCATTGATAGTTTTTTTGACATTTTGGTGAAAATGATTAATGGGATTCCTCAAAATCTTTTTATAGTTATTGTCTTTGAGGAATCTTTCTGTTTTACTAACATATTCAACTTTGCTTAAAATTACTAAACCTGCGTTTTTGTCCGCCTTGGTGAAAATTAGGTCGTTTTCTTTGATTTTCTTCTTTATTGATTCTATCAGTTTTACCTCTCTTCTTCGTTTCTCTTTGATCTTCTCTTCATTGTTCTTGTTCCTCTTCTTTGTGTCTTCTCGGATTAGAAGTTGTTGTAGATTTTTTCTTATTTCTTCCTCCTCCTTCATTCCTCTTGTTATGGCTTCCATTTCCAATGCCACTCTTCTTAGGTTTGGTGTGTTTACTATGGCGTATTTTGTCCCTTTGTTGAGAAGTTTCGTTTCTTCGGTGTTAAAATTAGTGTTTGAAAGATTAGTGACTCGGTCATGAAATTTATGCAAGATGGTATTGTTTTCTTTTTTCTCCCTCTTCTTTTTCTTCTCTGTACGAAGTTGGTTCAATTTTCTTTCCTTTCTCTCCCATTCTCGTGCTAGTGTAGAATCTAGTGTTACATTAATTTCCGTAAGTATCTCTTCTATTTCTAGATGATGTAATTTAGTGGTGAATTCTTGGTAATAATAGTATATTTTTATGTTGAATTCATTTATTTTTCTGTAGTGTCTTTTAATTTCTCTTCTAATTTCTCTCAATTTTATTTTATCGATTGTGTCTTTAGAAAATAAATATGTTGCAGTTGTTGTAATAATCTATGTTTGTATCTTTTGTATTCGTAGAAATGGGTCGTACTAAACTTATTAATATTATTAGGTGATTTTCTTTCCATTTTATGTGTATAAAAATAAAATACATTCTCAAATTTTGATTTTAAACTTAAAACTAACTTAAACCTGTAAATGTTGATGTGGTTTTACTATTGTAAGATACCTTGTTCTATATTGATTTTCAACATTAATCTCTTTATCGTATAATTTTAAATGTACCTGTTCTTTTTTCATTTCTATGTCATTGTCACGTGTTTTAAATGTTGGAATATTTTCCGAAGGACGTATATCTATCGTGTTTCTGCTTTTTATTTTATTGTTTTCATCTTTTATAAATATTGATCTAGGAGTATTATTCGATTTGATAACCTTTGCTGGTTCCCACTTATTTTTATATCTGTATACTATATTATCTCCCTTTTTGAAGTTTGTTTTGTTAGGTTTAGCATTTCTGTCATAGTAGCTTTTATTTATTTGTGCTTTTTCGTTTAAAGTTTTTGTAAAATTCATTATAATTTTTGGTCTTAATAGTTCATTTCTTATAGGTAATTTAGTTTTTATTCTTCTACTAAATAAAAGTTCAGCAGGTGACAATTTTGTACCTAAAACGGGTGTGCTACGATATTCTAATAAAACATTATATATGTCTAAATCTCCTTCCATTGTTTTTTTAAACATTTTTTTACATATACCAACTGCCCTTTCTGCTAGTCCATTCCTTTTAGGATAATATGGACTGGAAGTTTTAATTATAAAATTCCATTTAATACTAAAATCTTTAAATGTTTTAGAATTGTCGGCTATCATTATTTATGGAACTCCGTGTATTGCAAATATAGTTTTCAATACAGTGATTAATTCTTCCGAATTCTTTTGCTTTAATTTAACTAACTTTATCCATTTCGAATAATAGTCAATCAATACCAAATACGATTTATTGCTATATTCTAATACATCTACACCTATCTTTTCAAAAGGTAGTGTTGGTTGTTCACTTATAATTATAGGTTTTTTGTTCTGAAACTTCTCACATAGTCTACATTTTGCTATGTATTCTTTTATATCTTTTATCATTCCTTCCCAATAAAATAATGTTTTAGCTTTTGCGATTGTTTTTGTCATTCCAAAATGTGTTTCATGTAATTTTTTTAAAATATGAATTTTCATTTTTTCTGGAACCATTACATTATTCTCATAAAATATTAAATCATCTTCAATAAAAATTAAATTCTTTACTTTATAATATTTTTTTACATTATCTTTTACTTTAGATATTGAATTAGGCCAACCATGCATGCAATAATACTTTAATTGTTTTTTAAATTTATTTTTATATTCATCAGACATGTTTATAGTGTGAACTACATCATTCAAATCAGGTACAGTTATTCTTTGTGTTTTATTTCGTGTTTAACATTATTTTTTAAATTATTAATTTTATCTATTCTTTTTTCTAAATATATTTGTTTAACTTGTCCTCTTGATATTTCCGCTATTCTGAATGCTTCTACCGCTTCTTGTAATGTTACATTTCCCATTTTCATTAATCGGTCCTTAGTGTCCCTATCATTTGATTGTAAAACTATTTTATCTCTTAATGCTTCTTCTTCGTTAGTATACTCGCAATTTTTAACTAATGTTTTTACTTCTGTTAAAAACCCGTGAAATGACTCACCCTCTTGCTGAGTTCGAGATTGAAAAACATGTCTTGCGTATAAAATATTTTTCTTGGGATTACAATAATTCTCAAATTCTTTTAAAATTTTATTTAATGTTAACGGATCTTCAATTTGAAATGTATTATAGACTTCTACGGCTTCTTCGCCCACGATGTTCATCAAAATGACTATTTTTCTCTTTTCCGGTAACAATTCGAAACCATATGCTTCCATATAATAATAGAACGTTTCTTTAAATTTTTTAAAATTTTCTTGCATATTATCTTCTAATTTTAGCGGATTTGGCACCATAAAATTCGTTGTATATTCTTTACTTTTCTCTTTTTCACTCATTTTACTTTTTCATTTTCTTTTTCATTCTTTCATTGACTGCACCATGTGTTAACTCTACGTCTTACTCAAACACCTTATACTTTGATAGTGACCTTATGTAGAATATAAACTGGTTTATAAGTACATTTATAAAACTAAAACTTGGCATATTTTCATATTACAAATACCAACGAGAAACGATTTTTTGAGTAAATTTTGTTTTTTTCCAGCTTCAAAATAGTAATTAGCGTTGCATATTAAATTACATTCACTAGGGGTTGAGAAATTAAATCCTTAGTTTAGTGGTAAAAATGAGTCTACTTTAAACGTTGACCCCGCCGCCCCTACGGTAAATCTGGGGATGACCATAGGCAGGCTGCATACTAGAGGACCTATTCGAATTATCTAGACTAGTCGCAGGGTGCGACACTCCGTGGGGTTTGACAAAAATAATAATTAAAATTCCTGTTCACTACTTGGTTGGTCAACTGTAATTTTATAAATCTGAATCCGTTGTGGATTTAAATCTGAAGCTAACTTCGGCCACATAATTAAATTGGGTTAATCGTAATAATTTAATGTAAGGAATTCACTATTGCTCTGTGTCCCATTAGTAACGGACTCCTGTATAAATACCTATCTGCTCCTTTTTCCAAAAATAAATTTTAATTGCTTAATAACCCATTTTTGGTTTCCCCAACCCCACACCTAATTCTATTTCTAATTTATTTTCATTCTTATTTGAAATTAACTTCATTCTTCAAATTTAGATTCTATTTTACAGTAAAATTTTTTTATTTTTTAATGTGTTCAATTTTAATTTTCAAGTTTTCTACGTTTTGGAATGTTTATTACTTTGATTTTGTGACAAGTAAATTAGATTTTTAGGAAAGGGAGAAAAATTTGTTGTAAATCTGTTTTTAGATATAATTTTTTGATTCAGTACTTAACATGTAAAGAACATTTAAAGCTGCGTATTAGAAATAAAACAACCACTATAAGTACAAAGAAAACATCTTTATTTTTATTAAAGAATAAAGTGTTCGTTAAGTAGTTAGGATTCGATTCATCCCATAACAGTTGGATACCTAAAGACAATATCATTGAGATTTAAATGTTTAAAAAAAACCTTATGTTACTATTTATAATCCCCAATACAAAAACTATTTAAACTTAATACATAATTACTTAAATAATAAATGTTTATTAAAAACCCTCTAAAAATTCATGAACCTTTTCGGAACAATATTCTCTTAAAACAAATTTAAAATGTGAACGTTTCAAACAGAACGCGCACCACATAGCTTTATTTTCCACTAATTCGATAAACCCATATTTATTAATAGTTTTATGTTCGAATCTTACAACTTTTTCAGTGTCTTTAAATCCGTCTTTATTTCGGTAAAAGTTACTTTCCCATACAATATGCCACTCGTAATCTGCGAAGCACTCCCCACATACACGTCCATGTTCAGTTTCGTAGTATGCAACCCATACACACACTTCTCCACGTTCATCATTCCCATATATGTTGGAATATTTTCCGAAGGACGTATATCTATCGTGTTTCTTAAATTAATTGTTTTTTAAATTTGTTTTTATATTCATCAGACATGTTTATAGTGTGAACTACATCATTCAAATCAGGTACAGTTATTCTTTGTGTTTTATTTCGTGTTTAACATTATTTTTTAAATTATGAATTTTATCTATTCTTTTTTCTAAATACATTTGTTTAACTTGTCCTCTTGATATTTCCGCTATTCTGAATGCTTCTACCGCTTCTTGTAATGTTACATTTCCCATTTTCATTAATCGGTCCTTAGTGTCCCTATCATTTGATTGTAAAACTATTTTATCTCTTAATGCTTCTTCTTCGTTAGTATACTCGCAATTTTTAACTAATGTTTTTACTTCTGTTAAAAACCCGTGAAATGACTCACCCTCTTGCTGAGTTCGAGATTGAAAAACATGTCTTGCGTGTAAAATATTTTTCTTGGGATTACAATAATTCTCAAATTCTTTTAAAATTTTATTTAATGTTAACGGATCTTCAATTTGAAATGTATTATAGACTTCTACGGCTTCTTCGCCCACGATGTTCATCAAAATGGCTATTTTTCTCTTTTCCGGTAACAATTCGAAACCAGTTGCTTCCATATAATAATCGAACTTTTGTTTAAATTTTTTTAAATTTTCTTGCATATTATCTTCTAATTTTAGCGGATTTGGCGCTATAAAATTCGTTGTATATTCTTTACTTTTCTCTTTTTCACTCATTTAACTTTTTCATTTTCTTTTTAATTCTTTCACTGACTGCGCCATGTGTTAACTCTACGTCTTACTCAAACAACTTATACTTTGATAGTGACCTTATGTAGAATATAAACTGGTTTATAAGTACATTTATAAAACTAAAACTTGACATATTTTCATATTACAAATACCAACGAGAAACGATTTTTGAGTAAATTTTGTTTTTTTCCAGCTTCAAAATAATAATCAGCGTTGCATATTAAATTACATTCACTAGGGGTTGAGAAATTAAATCCTTAGTTTAGTGGTAAAAATGAGTCTATTTTAAACGTTGACCCCGCTGCCCCTACGGTAAATCTGGGGATGTCCAAAGACAGGCTGCATATTAGAGGACCTATTCGAATTATCTAGACTAGTCGCAGGGTGCGACACTCCGTGGGGTTTGACAAAAATAATAATTAAAATTCCTGTTCACTACTTGGTTGGTCAACTGTAATTTTATAAATCTGAATCCGTTGGGGATTTAAATCTGAAGCTAACTTCAGCCACATAAATAAATTGGGTTAAATCGTAATAATTTAATGTAAGGAATTCACTATTGCTCTGTGTCCCATTAGTAACGGACTCCTGTATAAATACCCATCCGCTCCTTTTTCCCAAAAATAAATTTTAATTGCTTAATAACCCATTTTTGGTTTCCCCAACCCCACACCTAATTCTATTTCTAATTTATTCTCATTCTTATTTGAAATTAACTTGACTCTTCAAATTTAGGTTCTATTTTATAGTAAAATTTTTCAATCTGTTCATTTTTAATTTTCAAGTTTTCTACATTTTGGATTGTTTATTACTTTGATTTTGTGACAAGTAAATTAGATTTTTAGAAAAGGAAGAAAAATTTGTTGTAAATCTGTTTTTAGATATAATTTTTTGATTCAGTACTTAACATGTAAAGAACATTTAAATCTGCGTATTAGAAATAAAACAACCACTATAAGTACAAAGAAAACATCTTTATTTTTATTAAAAAATAAAGTGTTCATTAAGTAGTTAGGATTCGATTCATCCCATAACAGTTGGATACCTAAAGACAATATCATTGTGATTTAAATGTTTAAAAAAAATTATGTTACTATTTATAATCCCCAATACAAAAACTACTTAAATTTAATACATAACTACTTAAATGACAAATGTTTATTAAAAACCCTCTAAAAATTCATGAACCTTTTCGGAACAATATTCTCTTAAAACAAATTTAAAATGTGAACGTTTTAAACAGAACGCGCACCACATAGCTTTATTTTCCACTAATTCGATAAACCCATATTTATTAATAGTTTTATGTTCGAATCTTACAACTTTTTCAGTATCTTTAAATCCGTCTTTATTTTGGTAAAAGTTACTTTCCCATACAATATGCCACTCGTAATCTGCGAAGCACTCCCCACATACACGTCCATGTTCAGTTTCGTAGTATGCAACCCATACACACACTTCTCCACGTTCATCATTCCCATATATTTGGAAGAATAAATCATCCCTAAAGATTTATTAAAATTTTATATAATTTTATACATTTTATTTAATTTCTAATTTACCTGTACAATTGTGGTTCCCTGAATAGGTCACATTGAATCTTATGATCCATTTTATGTGTGAATATTTCAAACTCTATGCACGCTGTACTCGCATTTTCATGGCAGTGCATATGTGTACCCAATTCATTCCAATTTATCTCGAACCACGTTTTCCACAAATGTAAAACTAAAGTCCATGGTAATTGTCGATGGAGTCTTAACACATCTACACGTTTTTCTATGCTTAAATTAATTTTATGAAAGGCTAAATCGTTTAATGATGATGCATTGAACTGAGCCATTTTATACGAAGTTTACTTACACTTGGTTGTTATATGACTAAACTTCGAACTAATCAACTATTTATAAATAGTTATGATCATTACGTCAGAATCGCAAATAACCTTGAAATTGTTTCTGCATATTTTTAATAATTTTACTGCATCGCAAATAAATTGTTTTACTGATTGTTTCTAAAAACCTTTTTATAGGAAGTATTTTTAAATAAGTTATGTATTTTAAGTAAAAGGTTCATTTATTTGTACATAACGATGTTATTTTTGCAGGTTTCAAAATTCGCATAGTTTCGATTAGTTCAGATAAATTAGATTTAAAAATTGCAAATTATGTGATTTCCCATAAATTTTTAGTTGTTAACAGTTTTGGTAGTAATTTTGATGTAGTTTCAGGTACAGATTTTTTTGTTTAGTATGGAGGAAAAATTTTCTTTTTCCTTTGTGCACTTAAAAACTCGGGTCTTAGAAAAACTGTAAAACAAAAGAAAAGTCTTACGGTTCTTGTAGAAAATGTAGAAATCTTTCAGTGGCAATTGAAAATACTTTTGAAGAAGATTGACCGGAACGATTTATTGCACTTTTAACGTCAACAACAACTCGAGAAACATGTGAATGACAAAAACTTAATAAATACGGAACGGCCGATTAATAACTAAATTATAAAAACTTTGATCAACAGTAAATCCTCTATTTTCGACCACCTAAAAAACGGTCACCTCTAGAAATGGCCAATTTTCAAATTCCAAACAATTACGGACGAAATCCCGTTCTAATATCCCTTCCAGTAACGGCACCCCCCCTTATAATGGTCACGGCCACCCTTTGAAAAAATGGAAAAATTTACTAATGTACATTAGTGGACACATTTCCTTGGGTTATTGGAGATGGATGAGCATTCATGGACCGGGAGAACTGACCGAAATTAAATGAAGATTTAATTCGATTTAATACATTCGAGTGCTGGATCTAAACCCATTCGAAAATCTATGGGCTTTGGTGGAAAAACAGTTCCATAAAAATGCCAACTTTCCTTTTCGCAACGTGTATAATCTGCGCTGCAACACTACAGTTATGTGGGAATTGTTCGCGGCAAGGAGGTATGCGAAAGATTAGTAAATTCGATGTCCACCAGATTGCAATGTTGCATAGAGAATAATGGGTATTATACAAAATACTGATATTTGATGGTATAATGGACCGTNTCGTAATCTGCGAAGCACTCCCCACATACACGTCCATGTTCAGTTTCGTAGTATGCAACCCATACACACACTTCTCCACGTTCATCATTCCCATATATTTGGAAGAATAAATCATCCCTAAAGATTTATTAAAATTTTATGTAATTTTATACATTTTATTTAATTTCTAATTTACCTGTACAATTGTGGTTCCCTGAATAGGTCACATTGAATCTTATGATCCATTTTATGTGTGAATATTTTAAACTCTATGCACGCTGTACTCGCATTTTCATGGCAGTGCATATGTGTACCCAATTCATTCCAATTTATCTCGAACCACGTTTTCCACAAATGTAAAACTAAAGTCCATGGTAATTGTCGATGGAGTTTTAACACATCTACACGTTTTTCTATGCTTACATTAATTTTATGAAAGGCTAAATCGTTTAATGATGATGCATTGAACTGAGCCATTTTATACGAAGTTTACTTACACTTGGTTGTTATATGACTAAACTTCGAACTAATCAACTATTTATAAATAGTTATGATCATTACGTCAGAATCGCAAATAACCTTGAAATTGTTTCTGCATATTTTTAATAATTTTACTGCATCGCAAATAAATTGTTTTACTGATTGTTTCTAAAAACCTTTTTATAGGAAGTATTTTTAAATAAGTTATGTATTTTAAGTAAAAGGTTCATTTATTTGTACATAACGATGTTATTTTTGCAGGTTTCAAAATTCGCATAGTTTCGATTAGTTCAGATAAATTAGATTTAAAAATTGCAAATTATGTGATTTCCCATAAATTTTTAGTTGTTAACAGTTTTGGTAGTAATTTTGATGTAGTTTCAGGTACAGATTTTTTTGTTTAGTATGGAGGAAAAATTTTCTTTTTCCTTTGTGCACTTAAAAACTCGGGTCTTAGAAAAACTGTAAAACAAAAGAAAAGTCTTACGGTTCTTGTAGAAAATGTAGAAATCTTTCAGTGGCAATTGAAAATACTTTTGAAGAAGATTGACCGGAACGATTTATTGCACTTTTAACGTCAACAACAACTCGAGAAACATGTGAATGACAAAAACTTAATAAATACGGAACGGCCGATTAATAACTAAATTATAAAAACTTTGATCAACAGTAAATCCTCTATTTTCGACCACCTAAAAAACGGTCACCTCTAGAAATGGCCAATTTTCAAATTCCAAACAATTACGGACGAAATCCCGTTCTAATATCCCTTCCAATAACGGCACCCCCCCTTATAATGGTCACGGCCACCCTTTGAAAAAATGGAAAAATTTACTAATGTACATTAGTGGACACATTTCCTTGGGTTATTGGAGATGGATGAGCATTCATGGACCGGGAGAACTGACCGAAATTAAAGGAAGATTTAATTCGATTTAATACATTCGAGTGCTGGAGGATGTTTTGATATCACCAGTAAGAACCTGTATCCAGAAGGGATCGTCACGATAGTCCAAGACAATTCGCTCGTGCATTCTTCAAGAATTGTTCATGATTGGTTTGACGATCATAATGACGTTAGGCGAATACCCTAGCCAGCGTGGTCACCGGATCTAAACCCATTCGAAAATCTATGGGCTTTAGTGGAAAAACAGTTCAATAAAAATGCCAACTTTCCTTTTCGCAACGTGGATAATCTGCGCCGCAACATTACAGTTATGTGGGAATTGTTCGCGGCAAGGATGTATGCGAAAGATTAGTAAATTCGATGTCCACCAGATTGCAATGTTGCATAGAGAATAATGGGTATTATACAAAATACTGATATTTGATGGTATAATGGACCGTATAAAATTCTCCCCAATTCGATTATTATAATATTTATTATATTTTATATATATAATATATTATATTTTTTGTTATATAGAAGTATTATATATTTTTTTTGATTTTATTATATTAAAATGGTTTGCGATATATTTCAATATGTATAGTTTATATATTACTTATTATCAATATATCATTTTCATTTCTTTTGAGGTTCGTCTCATNTGATGAATGTACTTTCTTTTTGGATGGAAAATTGCATCGGCAAAATGTACGTTATTAGAGTGATTTTAGTCCACATGAATATCGTGAAGTTAACACTCAATTTCCCAAGAAAATAAATGTTTGGACAGGCATATTGGGAAATCACATCGTGAGACCAATATTCCTAACCGAAAATTAGACCGGAATTGTATTTAAGATTATTAGAAGAAGATATTAATCCAAGTCTTTTGCAAATTGTACACCAGAATCCTGACGATTTTGAAATGGCTCCTCCACATTATGTGGCAATGGTACGAAATTATCTTGATACAAATTTTAATGGACGGTGGATCGGTCGACGTGGGCCGATTGAATGGCCAACAAGATCACCAGATCTGACACCTTTAGATTTCTTTTTATGGTGTTATTGACGAAATTATTGACGTCTGCCAAAATATTGATCATCACATGTTAAGCCGTGTGAGAGGAAACACTACAAAAATGTTTGTTCCTAATAAATAAAAAATTCTTTTATTATTCAATAACAACACTAAGCCAATTTTTCAACCAATACGGCAAAATCTTTAATAAAAAAAATTTCATTTCTTATATTGACTTTGATTTTTTTCTTTATAAATATTTTTTGATAAAATATGATTAATTCATAAATTTAATATACTTCAAAAATAAGTAAGGGGTAACTAAGGGGTAACTATCAATTTTAAATCCGTCTTAGCTCGAGCGTATACCTACCGTTAACCTACCGTCCATCATTTAACTGGCCGATTGCATTTCGACAGGTAGTCGACGAAGATACGTTGGTTTTTCCGGCGAAATTCCGCATTTTGTTTAATTGTTATGCGAAAAACTAATAAACCGATATTTGATTGTGAGGTACCGTTGGATTCGTATTGGTTTCATCTTTCGGAAGATACCATAATATACTGGGTGTTCCATTTAACCTTCCAGGGATAACATGCGGAGCCTTGCTCCGCACTTTCCGAATTTTTCCGATATTTAACGAACTCTTCCGACTTTAATGCTCGGCGGCTCAGTACCTGTTGCTTTTGGCGCCTTGAAATTAGTGTTAAATATTCTGTTCGGGAGTGCGCTTGGTTCTGGTATTTTAGCCGCTTGCGGAGTGATACTCCTCGCGTTATCCTTTTTGCAAAACATTATAGGTAAGTTATTGGTTTCTTATTATTTGTTAGCTTAATTACTATGGATAATTATGTAGTTCCAGAGTTAGCTATGGATTACGAAAAGGAACAGCAATATCTTCAAAGGCTCTTTGACGAGGTGGAGACCGATATTGATGATGATAATGCGAGTTTGACAAATGACCACGAAGAAATCCAAGATCATAACACCGATGACGAACAAACAATTGAGCCCATCGATTTGGATGTTCCACTGTCAGGGAAAAACACGGTGCAACAGTCTGCTGCATTTTATATAGGAAAAGACGGAAAGACACACTGGCGTAAGCATCCTGGAAATAAACAAGTAAAAACTCGTGCAGACAACATAATCAAGGTTCTTCCTGGTGTAAAAAAAAACGCAAAAGGAATAAAAAGTCCGCTAGAGATCTGGAGCCTTTTTTTCCCTGACAATATTCTAAATGTTATTGTAGAAAACACAAATATTTTTATTGGCATGGGGAATTATGATACATCTAATCGAACAGCAAGGCCAACCGACATTATTGAATTGAAGGCACTTTTTGGGTTGCTATATATTTCAGCAATGTCAAAGAATAATCATGTTAATGCGGCTGATNTGAAAATTTAATTCCTACTTAGGTAATGTTATAACTAGTTATAAGTTTTTGTTAAACAATTTGTTTTTTTGTTTTTGGTGAATATGAATTGTAAACTTGAGTTTTGTATGTAATACAATAAAATAATACAAAAAAAAAAGTATTAATTATATTAGTCTCCTTTCTTTTCTTATTAACTTAGGAGAAAACAGGTACGGAGTATCGCTCCGCACGTTATACTTTATGTCTGATTTCTGCACGTTATCTCTGAAAGCAAAACAAAGTGGGTTTTAAAAACAAAGTGGATCCATTTTCCGGAAAAACTAAAAGTGGTAGCAAAATTTTCCATAAGAAAATATTTGTACTGATAAAATATAGAACCTGACGTTTTTTTGCTCATATTGATATCTTAATCTGTTCGGAAGTTAAAAAGGGAGGGGGTTACTTTACGCTAGCACTGTATATTACTTATTATCAATATATCATTTTCATTTCTTTTGAGGTTCGTCTTATCCTTCCACTGTATTACTAAAATAATACAGTAATTATTAGTAATTATTTTCATTTACTACAGGAATTGTGTAAAGTAAATGAATTGCTTATACCTATTTATTTTCTTAATTATTCTTTGTGATTCAGTCATCTTGGCCATAAATCACAT